TCGAACAGATATTTGTACAACCATGTTGACAGCAGCATATTCACAATATCCAAAAGGTAGAAGCAATCAATCCAAGTGTCCATCAACAGATGAACAGATAAACAAAATGTGATCTATACATACAATGGAATAGTATTCAGCCTTTAAAAAGAATGAAATTCTGACACATGCTTCAACATGGATGAACCATGAAGACATTATGCTAAGTGAAATGTCAGTCACAAAAATAGAAATATTGTATGATTCCACTACTTTGATGAACCTAGAGTCGTCAAATTCATAGATAAAGAAAGTAAAACTGTGGTTGCTAGGGCTAGAGAAGGGAGGATGGGGTATTACTTTTTTTTTTTTTAAGATTTTATTTATTTATTTTCCCCCCAAAGCCCCAGTAGATAGTTGTATGTCATAGCTGCACATCCTTCTAGTTGCTGTATGTGGGACGCGGCCTCAGCATGGCCGGAGAAGCGGTGCGTCGGTGGGCGCCCAGGATCCAAACCCGGGCTGCCAGCAGCGGAGGGCCCGCACTTAACCGCTAAGCCACCGGGCCGGCCCGGGGTATTACTATTTAATGGGCACAGAGTTTCAGTTTGGGAAGATGAAAAAGTTCTGGAGATGGCTGGTGGTGATGGTTGCATAACAACGTGAATGTATTTAATGCCACAAAACTACACTTTAAAATGGTTAGAATGGTAAATTTTATGTTATGTATATTTTAACACAATTTTTTTAAAAACAAAAAAATGGTTACAATGGTAAATTTTATATGTATACTCTACCACAATTAAAAAAAAAAAAACTTGTTCTCAATCTAATTGTCCTCATTACAAACTGTTAAACACATCAAACTTACCTTGGCAACTTAATAAACTGTTCTCCAGTTCAATTCTTTGGTTCTTAGGGCTAATCCCTGGGGGTACACTTGCCTTTTGCTTTTCAAAATTGCACACTAATGCAGGTCAACCAAGCCACTAGGATACAGTGGTACATCTACTTTTTATAAAAACACCCTTTCTACTACTGAAAACAGCATCCATTAAGTGAAAAACTTTATGAGAATGGAAGTGTGTGTAGCGGAAAAAGTGCAAAATATGCCCTTTGAAAACAGTTGCTAAATTTCAGTCTAGCAAATAAAAAAGAGCCTTATATACAACTTTACTTTCTTCCTAGTTTAGGTAAAGTTGGCCAGGAGAAAGGTAAACCAGTCAATCATCATAAGGGAAGTGACCTTCATTCATAGGAGCCATATACTGTCAGTAACTACCAATAGAATAGCACATAGATTTTAATTTTTACAAATTAATTACAGTGTAACAATATTGCAAAACCAATACTTCCCATATGGGCAAAGGTGCAAAGTTGGGTATATGCCTTTCTATATCAGTGGTTTTAATATTTCTTAATTCTTTTAAAATGAGTAATGACAAGGCATGAACCTTTTAAGTAAGTTCAATTACAAAACTATCTTAGAATAGTACTCCTCCTATACTTAATGGTACACCTTTGATTGCCTTCTTAATATATTGCTCCACACAGTAGTCACCAATTTCATTAAATAATATAAAACTTTTCCAACAAGGTCAACTGTGGATTACATGCTAGTTTGAGACAGGCATTTCTTAAGCAACTAATTAAATTTATTGGTACAATGCATCAGAAGAGACACAGCAGGACAATCTAGCAGGTAAGATAAGTAGAATGGGAGTCAGATGACCTATTTCCTACCACAAATTAGCTGGGTAATCCTGGGCAAGTCACTTAGCTCATTTGTTTCTAGACTTTTGAGGCTTTACCCAGGGTCCTGACATGATGTTTCCATTTGATATTCTGTCAAATACGGATATTTTAAAAATTCATTTTGTATGTTGGAGAAGACGTGGAGAAACAGGAACCCTCATACACAGCTGGTGGGAATGCAAACTGGTGAAGCCTCTATGGAAAACGGTATGGAGATTCCTCAAAAAATTAAAAATAGAAATACCCTATGATCCAGCTATCCCACAGCTGGGAATCTATCCAACGAACTTGAAATCAACAATCCACAGGGCTGGGCCGGTGGCGTAGTAGTTAAGGGCACGCACTCCGCTGCTGGCGGCCCGGGTTCGGATCCTGGGTGCGCACCAAAACACCGCTTGTCAGGCCATGCTGTGGCGGTGTCCCATATAAAGTAGAGGAAGATGGGCATGGATGTTAGCTCAGAGCCAGTCTTCCTCAGCAAAAACAGGAGGACTGGCAGACGTTAGCTGAGGGCTGATCTTCCCCACAAAAAAAAAAAAAAAAATCCAAAGAGGCTCATGCACCCCTATGTTCACTGCAGCATTATTCACTACAGCCAGGAAGTGGAAGCAACCCAAGTGTCCCTCGACTGATGATTGGATCAAGAATACAATGGAATACTACTCAGCCATAAAAAAAAGACAAAACCGTCCCATTTGCAACAACATGGACGGACCTGGAGGGTATTATGTTAAGAGAAATAAGCCAGAAAGACAAACACCATATGATCTCACTCATATGTGGAATATAAACCAACACATGGACAGAGAAAACTGTAGTGTGGTTACCAGGGGCAATGGGGGTAGGGGTGGGCACAAGGGGTGAAGGGAGACATGTATATGGTGATGCACAAACAAAAATGTACAACCAAAAACTTCACAATGTTATAAACTATTAAAACCTCAATTAAGAAAAAAAAAGGAAAAGGAAACAAATACAAAAAAAAAATTCATTTTGTAACAGTAGGAAGGGCATAATCTCAAAATAGAAAAAAGTAGAAAAAAATAGCTTTATGAGAAGTTCACTACTTTTTCCTTACTTTTCTCATTTCACTTTAGATATAAAAAAATTTCAATAGGGACTAAGCAAGTATTTATTGGAGAAACAGCATTTGGTAACCAAAAACTTTGCCTATTTCTTAATCTGAAGAAGCAAAACAGCAGCATGGGTTCTAGATTCAGTACTGAATTTAAATCCTAGCTTTACCACTTACTAGCTGCGTAAAATTTTTAACCATTTCTTTGTTTTTTGTTTTTTGGATTCATCATTTCTCTGAGTCTACATTTAATTCATCTATAAAAATGTAGTTAATACCTACCTCAAAGAGGTGTTGAAACGATTAAATAAAATAACGAAAGTATCTAGTATGGTACTGGCATATAATAAGCATTCAATAAATGGTAGCAGTTACCTAAAAATGAGATGAGATAGGATTATCACCAAGATTCTATGACTTTAAGGACAAGCAACAGGAGAGGAAAATTGTAAATAATAAGGCCCAAGAAGATAGATATATTGAAACAGTTCACTTATAGTGAGAAAAGAAAAAACTAATTGACTTTATTTCTTGTAACTCTGGTTCTGTAAGAAGGTAGATTAGGCAAAAAAAAAAAAAAATTGGTAGATTCCTCATTTCTTTTTACTTGCCCACACAAGACTAATACTTGTTAAAAACTGCTTTGCTTTCTTTTTTTTTTAATTTTTATTTATTTATTTGCCCCAAAGCCCCAGTAGATAGTTGTATGTCATAGTTGCACAACCTTCTAGTTGCTGTATGTGGGACACGGCCTCAGCATGGCCAGAGAAGCAGTGCATTGGTGCGCGCCCGGGGTTCCGAACCCGGGCCGCCAGCAGCGGAGCACCCACACCTAACCGCTAAGCCACAGGGCCGGCCCTGCTTTGCTTTCTTTAAAGCAACATATTTTATTTATCTTATCTATCATTGAATCAGAGGGACAGAATTGATTTTCAGAGGTCATCCAGTACATCATCATTCTACCAGATAGGCTCAGAAAGGAATGTGCTTAAACTCATCTCCAATGCTTCATTCTTAACAAGTTTTATCACTTTGATTAGATAAAAGTCTAAATCCTTCTCAAATTTACCATTTAAAAAAAATCTCACATGAATAGTATGTTATCTTTTGTGTAACAACGGGGAAAATAAAAATACATATTTGCAGGGCCAGACCCATGGCATAGCGGTTAAGTTTCTGGGCTCCGCGTCGGCAGCCCAGGGTTCGCAGTTTCCGATCCCAGGCCCAGACCGAGGCACCGCTTGTCAAGCCTCGGCTGTGGGGACGTCCCATATAAACTAGAGAAAAATTGGCACAGATGTTAGCCCAGGGCCAATCTTCCTCCGCAAAAAGAGGATCAGCAACGGATGTTAGCTCAGGGCTAATCTTCCTCACAAAAAAATAAAATAAAAATAAAAAATACATATTTGTATTTCCATAAAGTAATTCTGAAAGAATATACGACATTAAAAGTGTAAAGGGCAGGATACTTTTCATTGTATTTGAATGTAATCACCTACAGAAATGAACTAATAACCAAAAGAAAACCCTTACACATTTCAAGTTTCACAATAAGGTTTTCTCCACCCATGCCTAATCGACTGTTTTGACCCACCATTCATATAACCACACTCAACAACATATCATTTTATATGTAAAGTCATAAGGCTTTACAGAATGAAACTTGCGCAAGGTTGATACTCATGCAATATAACAAATTGTTACAACTAATAACATGTAACTTTTCCTTCAATAAACATTTCCAATGTCTCCAAAATTTGCTCACTAGAATACAAAGTTATATTTCCTATATTATCACCACTGATGATAAGTTATGGAATAAAGCCCTTTCTACCTTGAACAAAGACCCCATTAATGTTTTTCAGAAATTCATTTTCATGGACAGTAAATGAACTTTTCAAAAATAATATAGTATTTTAAGTGAAAAGTTTCCAAAAATGACAAATTCACCATAGAAAATTTACAGCGTTAAACTTTTCAATTTCTTTCTTGTTCAGGTTATGAGTGTAAGCCCTGAGATGCTATTAAAAGCAGTGACTCACCTTGTTTACCTGAAGTTTGAATACAGAGTATTCATAACAAAATTGCCATCCCTGAAGATAAGAGTGGCCTCTAGACCAGTGGTTCTCAACCAGGGGTGATTTTGCCCCCAGGAGACATTTGGCAATGTCTGGAGACATTTTTGGCTGTCACAACTGGGTGGTTTTACTGGCATCTAGTAGGTAAAGGCCAGGGATGCTGCTAATGCATAGGAGAGCCCTTCATAACAAAGAATTATCTGGCCCAAAATGATAATACACTGCTGTTGAGAAACCTGGCTCTAGATTATAAATCACAAGTAACTCTGAAGGAAATGATCCATCTCCTCTCCTACTAGAGAAAATCAGAATGCAACTTCTGTATGGCCTGTGCTTTTGACTCTAAAAAAAAAAGATTTTCAGGAAAAAAAATTCCCTACAAAGCTTTTGTTATAATTTGCTATAAATTGCTCTATACAGTGTCTGTGTGCTTTTATCTAATTGTAAATATGGCAACTGCCTCAAGATAAGAAAAAAATCTTATTACATAAAGCTATGCTTTCTAACTGGATATCTGTCTTTCAAGTGTGTGTATATTATTAACATGTATGCACACATATATAGGTTTATATAGGCCCGGAAAATTCACTGCAAGAAAAATTTTGATACTGGTTATCTCTGAAGAGCAGGATTTGAAGGGTCAGTGGGCATGAGAAGGAGGAACTTTACTTTTCACCTTATATCTCCTATCTATACCGTTGAATTTTTCACCATAAGACTATATTACTTTTATAATTTTAAAAGGACGATGTCACATATCTATACACACATTCTTTTTTTTTTTATTTTTTTTTATTTTTTTTAAAGATTTTATTTATTTTTTGCCCCCAAAGCCCCAGTAGATAGTTGTATGTCACAGCTGCACACCCTTCTAGTTGCTGTATGTGGGACTCGGCCTCAGGATGGACAGAGAAGTGGTGCCTCGATGCGCACCCGGGATCCGAACCCGGGCCGCCAGCATCGCAGCGCGCGCACTTAACCACCAAGCCACAGGGCCGGCCCCTATACACACATTCTTATGACACAAAAATTGTCATAAACCTCACTAAAGTCCTTTCTTTAGGAATTTTATTTTTCTTTTAACTTGCTTTAAAAAAAAAAAAAGACTACAGATCTAAAATTAACATTTAAAAATAGGTTTTTAAAGAACTTTCAACCTGACCTCTATTCTAAACAATGGGTACATTTCAATAGGATCCAAAGCAAGTTCTGACTTCTATTCAAGGCCTTGGACAGCTAAGGAACATGCTCAGTATGCCTGAAGAAATACAAAACAGATATTTACCCCAATGTGTAAAACAACAAGAACCAAAGATCCCAAATGGTGGCATTCCTTAAGCTAACACAATTCCAATAAAAAAATTTTTTAAAAGACCCAAGCCCCTTCCCCAAACTAAAAGGTCTTTTGACTTAGCCAGAAAGGGAAAGCAGCGTGTTTTTTCTCAGCTACTGGCTCTGATAATGAATAGAAAAGAGATCCTTAGAGGGCCGGCCCCATGGCTTAGCGGTTAAGTGTGCGCGCTCTGCTACTGGCAGCCCGGCTTCGGATCCCGGGCGCGCACCAACGCACCGCTTCTCCAGCCATGCTGAGGCCGCGTCCCACATACAGCAACTAGAAGGATGTGCAGCTATGACATACAACTATCTACTGGGGCTTTGGGGGAAAAATAAATAAATAAAATTATTAAAAAAAAAAAAAAGAGGTCCTTAGAGTATCTACATCTCCATACAACAAATGTATAGGATTTCAACTAATTCTAGAGCAAATACACTAGGCCTCCATATTTTTTACTTATTTCTCACCTAGTCCTGCCATAGGCGGGAAATAAGGGAACAAGACAAACTTCACTCCCAAACCACAAACCAACCCATATCTATCTCTCTGGATGTCTAGATTCTAAATACTTGGTTCTAAAACATCTAAGAAAGATGAAAATACAGATTTTAGTGTTATTCATCAAATGACAGTTGAGTGTGTGATTTTTTAAGAATATGATTTATGGTCTTTTCACACTGGAAATTCAAAGGCAATAATAAGGGAGAAGACAACTCATCTTGTCAGAGAGAAAAAAAAAAGGCAAGAAATCTGCTTGGCCAAAATAGGTCATTTCACTCACAAAGGCACAGACCATACCCCACCACTCATACTATATAGCAGAGACCTGATACTCCAGGAATTTCTTCTCTTTGTGATATGGGAGAAAGAGGACATAAAAACAAAATTTTCTTTCTCCACAGGTTAGGAAAGAATCTATATACATACTGAGCATCATCTTAGACTAGGCTAAAGTCTCTGGGTATCCTAGAAACCTCCACTCCAAAAATGAGTTCTACTTATACACTTAATACCTAAATGCTTTTTAGTTACAGAAAACTAAATGGGTGTAGGAATCATGAATAAATACCTTCCATAAAAAATATCAAAAAAAAAAAAGGTCTGGATTCTGCTCATTGCTTTAACCACATCGTATGCAGACTCCAAGTGAAATACTGTATCTGTGTGTGTACAAGCCTCACAGAACTGGTTACTTCAAAAGCTCATTTCCCAGATATAACACATGAACCCAAAGAGTTAGAGATTTATGACTTCGGAGGCTCACTAGCACTCTACCTCTGAAGAAATTTAAGAGTAATACTTATGTAAAAGCAAATGAGTGAGTTTTCATCTCACCTATGACAATTAAGTAGAAATGGTCCAGAAAACCAAGGACATCATCTTTCTATCACATTTAGACCAAAGCAAACCTTTTCAGTCTCTCTTACAAGTTTCAAAGAAGAACAGACTCTAATCTTTGGAGTCTAAAGATACTCCCACTTTATGTCCTAGGTAAAAAGTACATGTGTTCTAGGTTCATCCCTCATCAATTTTCATTGAAAGGATAAAAGAAAGCTTCCCACAAGCCCAAGAGTGGAGGTGCTCCAGAGACTCTCCCCATAACTGCCTACTCAAATAAAATCTTGTCTCACCTTGGCTTAGAAGTTATATCTCTTACAGTGAAATTCAAAGATACATTCAAGGGACTAGCTCCCTTACAACCCACACACTGTTTTTTCCAAAGCAAAATGTTGGGGTCAGAATGTACTAAGGTTTTAAATCTAAAGGAACCCCTGTTCAGACTTAGAATGATAAGACAGTACACTAACTATATTCTGCAATTCACAAATACAGATTCTTCTTCCTCTCAAATACAACAGCCAGGATAGCTGTACAGAGAGAAATCCCTGTACTTTAACACCAAGATCAGAGGTTAAAATAATTGGTTATAGGGGATGAATGAGGCACCTTAGAACCAAAACAGAATACTCTGAGAACAATAGTCGTCACAGTACTATATCCAAGCCACAGTCAAGAGAAAAAAGTACGTATATAAAAAATCTCCTTTTTCCCTGGAGCCCAAAAGATGATGCCTACCATTCTAGGTTGCTCAGACCTAAAAGTGCTCAGTATACATATGAGAGTTAAAAGAAAGGAAGGACCTGATAACTAATTTCCCTCACTGCAAAAGTGTCCATAGGGTGCCTCACCTTCTTGAAGCCTAAAAATCTCCAGAGTTCAGCTATCCAGCTATTCTGAAGCTCAAAGATGCACTGGAACTTCCTTTTCCTGTCTAACTTCACAAAAGGTCCCAGGTGGAAGACTCACGCGATTTTTCAGGGTAAAAGCAGAGAGCGCCTTAATACTCACCTGTCTCAAACTAAAGAAAGGAATTAAGAACCCGTCTTAAACACACAGGTAAGGCATAAGGCAAATAAACCCTCACTTCGGGGGAGAGGCATACAGTGGAAACGCTCTTTGAGGACTAGTTCTTGTCTCTCCCTCTCACTCTCCCTCTCCCTCTCGCTCGCTCTCTCAGTACCAAGGGCAGGGACGCTGGCAAGACCCCGCCTCCCCATCTCCAAATCGGGGTGGGCGGGAGGTAGCCTGAGGAGTCCTTGTTCCCGCGCGAAGCTCAGAGGCCAAAAGACTCCCCATTGTGGGTCTGTGGATGGTGACCGGAACCGGTCAGGCTCGAGCCGCGGGCTGAAGAGCAAGTCGAGGGCTTGCACTAGGCCCGCACCGCTGCCACTGCCGCCATGAAGCCGATCGCTGTCAGAGAACGACAACGCCCGGGCAGTGGGAGGGTGGCCCGGGCCCTGTGCGGCCCAAAGAAAATGCATGCCTCACGCTGTGTGGGAGGTGAGGGTCCTGGAGCCGTACCTCGGACACCTCGTCCTCGTCGCTGCCAGAGGCACCACCTCCACCCCCGGTCCTCAGCACAGCAGCCGCCAACTTGAAATCCAGCGCCGCGTCCCCTCCGCCCGCACCGCTGCCGCCGCCACCGACTCCCGGCGCAGGCCCGGCCTCCCCAAAGAGTCTCACGGTGCGGATCCCCAGCCCGACCCCTCCCGGCGGAGGCGGCTCCGAGGCCCCGGCTGGGGCGGATCGCGGAGCCACCGAGTCCAGGTCCTCCTCAAAGGAGGTGCCGCCGCCTCCGCCGTCGGTCAACATGGTTCGCACGCGGAGCCGGAGACGCTGCCGAGTCACTCGCGGCCACCGCCGCCGCGGATCCCGGGAACGAGAAGAGCAGCAGGAGGAAGAAGCGTCTCCTTCCCCCCGTCCCAGCAGCGCCACTAACTTCTCACTGCCTAACCTGATGCCTCCCGCCCCCAACACTCGCCACTGGCTGCAGCTCCCCAGTGCCTGCAGATCATTGGCCAAGGTGACCCGTCGCTCAGGCTCTTCGTCACGCGCCGCTCGCTGGCTCGCGGCCCCCAAGCTGCGTTGACCCGCGCAGGCCTAGGCGGTTGCGAACACCCGCCTCCTACTCCCCACGCGCCGACTTCCGGTCCTTTTCTACGTCTATTGGTCAAGCTCTCTGACTATCGCGACACGACCTTAAAGTGGATTAGTTGGCCTTGTGGTCAGTCATAGCGACCCCTAACAATGGGAGACTTCATTGGCGCCACAATGTGTCGGTCACTTTGTCACAGGACGTCGCGTGGTACAATTGGCCGGTAAGAATACCATTCATCCCGCCCCCGTCTGAGGTGACGGGAAAGGGTTGGGGAATTTCCATTTCTGATTAAAATGACGGCTGAGCTGATGACCCGCAAGAACTGGTGAGATTTGGAGTAGAATTCACCCGGCGCTTGGGGAGGCACATACGTCAAGTATGCAAGAGGCGCGGAGGTAACGCAGCTCCCACCTGTCGCTCTCCGCCAGGCGCGGAGACTACAGCCAGAGAGTTGCTGCACGGCGATTGGAGGAAAGAAGCAATCAGTCTCAGCTAGGCTCCATCTTCCTGCCAGTCCCTGGTTGGAGGAGTGGAGCGTCAGTCACTAGAGCGGGCGCCACCTCTGGGACAGGTGAGGCTGCATAACCTATCTGCCTCTGGCTCTTTGGGCGGGAGTAGGGGACTGAGAGAGGCGAGGGGGCAGGGCCGTCCCTGCTGCGCGCCTCTCGCCTGTCGGAGCAGAGCCCAGCGCGCGGAGCTGAGGGGACCGAGGGGGCTGCTAGGGATGGCCTCCCGGAGGCGATTCGGCCGGCCCGCGTGCCCGGACGTGACTGGGCGCGGCAGAGCTACAACCTGCGGGCGGGATCGCCCCGCGGGGCCGCGTTCTCTTGCTTGTGGAAGGCGGCGAGCCTGAGGGCTGGACAGCGCCATGCCTCAGTACTGGGAACTGTCCCACGAAGGAAGGTGGGAAGGCCGCGGACAGCGCGCGGCAGTCAGACCCCCGGCCTGAACGCAGTGGTTAAGAGTGCGCGTTCTGGAACAATTTCGAGTTGTGGTGCTGCCACTTATTTGCTGTGTGACTTCCGGGCGTTTGTTGTTTAATCTCTGACTTTCAGTTCGTTCATCTGTAAAATGGGGGTAATATAGGTAGCTCCCTCATGTGATTGTTGTTATGAATAAATTAGATAATAACCTATAAGACGCTTAGCAAAGTGCCAAACGTATAGTAAAGACTCATTTTTGTTAGTTTGTCTTCCTTCAGGAATCTTCCACCTGCCCCTGGGTCCTGCCAGACAAACTAATTCTTGTCAGATCTCTATGATGCAAAATAAGGCTAGCTAAGGGGATCTTCCCTCCTCTAAGGATCTCTCTCTACCTCTATTGTCTCTATATCTTTCTGTCTCCTTTGTCAATAAAGAGGGGTTAAAAATGCTCCTGCTCCAACTAATTCTGTGATCAAAGATCACAAGAAAGGCATTTGGTGAAGTTTGCATGGCAAATGTCCTTTGACCCAGAGAATGTCCCATATGATTTTTAGCCAACAGAGGTTGGCTAAAAGCAAAAGATTTGGCATTGTCTCCTCTCTTGCAACTTTAACAAAGGGCTTTGTACATCTTGATTGTGCAATATTTAATATTTCACCTCCCTTGAACTGGAATCTGTAAACTCTGTAAATAATATAATGATTTTTTAAATGACTTTAAAAATTGATTCTGCCAAATATTTATTTAAAGAACATTTTGAAGATTGTGAACGTTTCTTTGGCTTGGTAATTGCTCATTTTGGCATTTCACATGCAAAAAAACAACAGTGTTTTCTATTAGCAGAATTATGTTAGATAAATGTTCTTTCTAGATAATAAGTTGTAGAAAATAGGAAAAAAAGTCTTGTACCTTTTCTAGAAAACTATTTTGATGTAAATGCCACATACATTGGTTTTAGTTAGAATTTGTGGAACTTAATTAGCCCCTATCCTCAGTGCTGTTTAAGTTTTCAAGGCATGTGTGACTAGGTCACAACCCAAACTAATAGCACCAACAAAAGAAACACAGCACTGCCCAACCCACTTCAAAGCTGGATTATCCAGAATTGGTATGGATACATCCTTAGGCAAAAACAGGTATTGACTGGTGCAACATTACAAAGGAACTACTTGTCATTCCTACTACTAATACAAAAATAATTTCTGATGCAACTCCCTAAACAAAGTCATTAAATTCTTTAAACAAATGTAATGAATCTCAAGGACAGAGAGAAAGGAAATCTGGGTGTATACACTTTTTCCAGTATATTTGAGAGAAAAAAATACTGTCAGTATTTTAATAATACTCAGTTCCTAGCAACCAACGCTGACCATAGCCAGGAAAATATGACTGAGCAATAATCTTTGTATCACCTGGACCTTTACCTCAGTCACTTATTGTCAGTAGTTTGACAGTCAGTATGGGAGTTAGGAACTGCCAGTCTCCTGGATTTGGGGGACTGCTATAGAGAATCGGTATTAAATATGATTTAATATTTCCATATATGCCACATTCATGTGGGTTTACAAATTTGAAAACTAATTGAGCAGTCATCACCATATCAAGTAATACATTTGGTGAATTTATAAAATCACACTCAATGTATTCAATATAAAATATCAATAAGTATTAATGTGATTTAGTGGGTATCCTTGGTTTTGATATATGTATCTTAAGATGGTATTTACTACGAAAAGAAAAGTAATACACTGATTTTTCAAATGCTGAATAAGTAGTAGATGGCAAAATCTCTCTTAAAAGTATATTTGTTAGGGGCCGGCCCGGTGGCGCAAGCGGTTAAGTGTGCGCGTTCCACTGCGGCGGCCCGGGGTTCGCTGGTTCGGATCCCGGCGCGCACCGACGCACTGCTTGGCAAGCCGTGCTGTGGCGGCATCCCATATAAAGTGGAGGAAGATGGGCACAGATGTTAGCCCAGGGCCGTCTTCCTCAGCAAAAAAAAAAAAAAAAAAAAAAAAAAAAAGAGGAGGATTGGCGGATGTTAGCACAGGGCTGATCTCCTCACCAAAAAAAAAAAAAAAAAAGTATATTTGTTAGGGGCCGGCCTGGGGGCATAGTGGTTAAGTTCCCACGCTCCGCTTCGGTGGCCTGAGGTTTGCGGGTTCAGATCCCAGGCACGGACCTATGCACCACTTGTCAAGTCATGCTGTGGCAGGCGTCCCACATATAAAGTAGAGGGAGATGGGCATGGATGTTAGCCCAGGGCCAATCTTCCTCAGCAAAAAGAGGAGGATTGGCAACAGATGTTAGCTCAGGGCTAATCTTCCTCACCAAAAAAAATATATATATATTTGTTAGAAATGAGCATTAGAATAAATGTTTTCCCACAGAAAACCAGTGGGAATATTTGTTAGGGTGTAGTTGTAATGTGTTTCAAAACATTCTCTTCCTTTTGACCATCTTTCAGACAAGAAAGGAAAAGGAGAAATTATATAACCCAAGGACTTTTAAAACTTCTGAGGTAATAAAAGTCTTCATTTTTCATAAGAAATATGAGATTGACAAACTAAATTTTAGATACAGGGACTTTAGCTTTCATGTGCAACCTGCATTTTCTCAAGACATTTAATTTCTATGTGTCTGTCCATCTCAGTTCAGCCCATCTATATAATGAAAGAAGGTTAAGTAAACCAACAAATTTGTTGCACTTAGATGTTATATCATTTAACCTTTATAATAATCCTGTCAAGTTTTCACCCATTTTATAGATGAGGAAGCTGAAACTCCAGAAAGGTTAAATAACTTACCCAAGCTTATAAGGCCAATATATGGAACGGCTAGGATTTGAATTTATTTCTGCCTGATCTCAAAACCCATGCTATTCCCACTATGTCACATAGATTCCATGGTACCTTCAAAGACAGAGGAACTTCATCAATCAGGTAAACTAATATAATACTCCAACCATTATCTCCTTCTTATAAACCTGCTAATTAACACTCTAGGTGGAGTTATCCCTAACTACTACCAAATTTGATATGTTCCTCTTTTATAACAGTTAGAAATGTTTAATTTGAAACTTATCTCCTGGTTTCTCCAACTGTATTATTAGTTTCTTAGGCCATGTAATTACACATTAAAAAATCTGAATAGTTAATATATTCACATGGTTCAAATTTCAAAAGGAGAGGCCGGCACCATGACATAGAGGTTAAGTGCGTGAGCTCCGCTGCTGGCAGCCAGGGTTTGGAGCCTGGGCGCGCACCGACACACCGCTTGTCAGGCCATGCTATGATGACGTCCCACATAAAGTGGAGGAAGATGGGCACGGGTGTTAGCTCAGGGCCAGTCTTCCTCAGCAAAAAGAGGAGGACTGGCATGGATGTTAGCTCAGGGCTGATCTTCCTCACAAAAACACAAAAAGAAGTTTCAAAAGGAATTTTAAAAATACAATGAAAGTAGAGTTTACATTCTAGTAGGGGAGACAGACAATAAACAAACAAATGAATATACAGTAGGTCAGATGATAAGAAGTACTGTGGAGAAAAAGCAGAGGAAAGAAACAGGAAGTGTGTTTGTGTGTGTAAGTGCCTTGCTGACTACTGTGAGGAGAAAAAAAAAAATACAATGAAAGGAGTCTTTTTACTTTGCCCACTAAACACCCGGATCTACTTTCTTTTTTTTTTTTTTCAAAGATTTTATTTATTTATTTATTTTTCCCCCAAAGCCCCAGTAGGTAGTTGTATGTCTCAGCTGCACATCCTTCTAGTTGCTGTATGTGGGACACGGCCTCAGCGTGGCCGGAGAAGCGGTGCATCGGTGCGCGCCTGGGGATCTGAACCCGGGCCGCCAGCAGCGGAGCGCGCGCACCTAACCGCTAAGCCACGGGGCCGGCCACCTAGATCTACTTTCATCAGCAAACCCTGTTATTAGGCTTTTAAATATCCTTCTAGAGATTTTTATACATACGTAAGCAATTTCATACATGTCAATTTATTTTTTTCCTTTTTAGTACAAATGGCAGCATACTTTATGCACTTCTATTTCTTGCTTTTTTCACCTAATTTATTTTAGAGATATTCCATGTCAGTATATAAAGAGCTCTATAATTCTTGTTTACTACTTCTTAGTATTCTGTTGACCAAGTGTACCATGATCTATCCAGTTCTATAACATTGGACGTTTAGATTGTTTGCTTTTTTTTTTTTTTTTTTTTTTTGCTTAACAAACAGTGCTACAGATGTCTAACTTTCTGACCTACTCTCTATCCTCCAGGAAGTGCTGGGCACATATCAGTTTAACTGAAAAGTCATAAAATTGCAGCTAGACTTAAGGCTACTACTTATTTGAGCTATAGTTGAATATACCTGCAAGATGTCTAGCAACCTCTAGGAAGTGGGCATGTTTTAAAAAATAAGAAGCTCGGGCCGGCCCTGTGGCTTAGCAGTTAAGTGCGCGTGCTCCGCTACTGGTGGCCCGGGTTTGGATCCCAGGCGCACATCAACACACCGCTTCTCCAGCCATGCTGAAGCCGCATCCCACATACAGCAACTAGAAGGATGTGCAACTGTGACATACAACTATCTACTGGGGCTTTGGGAAGAAAAAGGGAAAAAAAAGGAGGAGGATGGGCGATAGATGTTATCTCAGAGCCAGTCTTCCTCAGCAAAAAGAGGAGGATTAGCGTGGATGTTAGCTGAGGGCTGATCTTCCTCACAAAAATAAATAAATACATAAATACATAAATAAAAATAAGGAGCTAAACATGTAGCTGTATAACCCCACCATGCAGCCTAAGAAAATTATTGCAAAAATTTCCTAGTTTTTCTGCTACTGAGCCTACCCTTTCTGAAAAGAGGCAAAAAATATATATACAAAAAATGCCTGCTTGCTCACTGGAAGTTTCATCCTTGCTGCCTGCCCAACAAGAATGAGGCCAGTAAATAATGTTGTTCCATTTGATTATATACTTTTAGTGCCAGGAATAGTTTTTTTCCAAACTTCTAAAACTAATGAGTATATAAATACCTCTTATGGTGGAATCACTCAGGTTCTCAGCAAAGGAGAGAGGGTGGAACAATTAATATCCACCTTCTTCCTTGGGACTCTGTCAGGATTCCTTAATTCTTGAATTTTTGGGTAAAAGACAGCATGTCAAGGAGAATATGCATTAGGGTTATTGAGAGGAAGTAGGATTTGCTGGGAAAGTCTCTGAGCTGGGAATCAGAAGTACCAAGTCTACTTCAGGTGACTGGTGTACTTCTGTGTGTGATGCTGTGCTCATAGACCTGCAAAGTTTGTGTGTCCATTTGACCTTTAGAGGTATGTTTTAAAGGTACATAACCTCAGAGGCATTTCAGAATCATAAAACACAGTCATCACTTCAAATCAAATGCCATACATGCTTAGAAAAAGTATGGTAGGTTACATGTAAAACCAAGATGTTAATAATAATTATCTCTGGGTAATGAAAATATATAGAGATTTATAAAATTCTTTTTCTCTTTTTCGAAAATTTGTATTTTCTAGGCTTTTCTTTTTTACTTTTTCCACGATGAACATATACTTTTTGTGTAATAAAAAATTAAATAAAATATCTTTTCAAATAAGGTTTGCAATTTTTTTTATCTATTCATTCAACCAACGTTTATTCAGTTCCTGCTATGTGCGTGGCACCATGCCAAGTGCTTTACAGAAAACATAAAAGAAGCAGAAGATTTAATGTACTTCCTTTCAATTACACTGATATATACTTATTGACTGATGATTAGGTAGATAAAATGCATATGGAATAATAGAGAACAGTCTTAACAGAAAGACAAATTCAAGACAAACTATTTTACAGTATTGATATAGGAGGTAAAAGAGAAATCAAAATGGAGTGAGTTTATTTAGGAAAAAGCCTTGATTATGATCATTTTGATCTAGGACATTGACTGAGAGAAATAGAAGAGGAAAAGCATTCCAAGTGGAAAGGAATGATGACAAAGAATTGAAACTCTTCAAATCGTGTGTCAGGATGATGAAAAGACTAACTTGGTCAGCGCAGGGAAATCAGAAAGAAGATTAAGAGAAATTTGGTTAAAGAAATGTTGAGAGGCCAGCCGGTGGTGTAGTTGTTGAGTTCACACGCTCCACTTGGGCCACCTGGGGTTCTTGGATTCTTGGGTTCGGATCCTGGGCGCGGACATACGCACCACTTATCAAGCCATGCTGTGGCGGCATCCTATATAAAGTAGAGGAAGGTGGGCATGGATGTTAGCCCAGAAACAGTCTTCCTCAGCAAAAAGAGGAGGATTGGCAATGGATGTCAGCTCAGGGCTAATCTTCCAAACAAAAAAAAAAAGAAAGAAATGTTGAATACTGGACTGAGGGCTTTAAATTTGGTTCAATAGGCTATCCACCATAGTTCTTGAAAAGCAAAGTTACTAAGATAAAAATTGTTAAAGGAAGATTACAATTTTTCTTGTTTGTGTGAGTTGGGTTAGAACAAGGAGCTACTGGAGTCTAGGAAACAAGCAGTCTTGCTGTTGCTCTTAGTCCAGGGGTAAGGTAATGAAGGCCTGGATCAAGGGAGTAACTATTAGACTGGAGAAAAAGGAATGATCAACAAGAATAAAGAATCAGTATGACTCGGTGCCTGATTAACTGTAGGGAACGAAGGAGTATAATAACAAAAGTTGAGAGAAATTGATACAAACTTTCTAAAGAGAAATATGGCATTATGTATCAAGATCTTTTCTTTAAATTTTTATTTCCACTTATTAGAATGGCTAAAATCCAAATAATTGACAATACCAATTGCTGGCAAGGATGCAAAGCAACAGGAACTCTCACTCATTACTGCTGAGAATGCACAATGGTACAGCCAGTTTGAAAGAGCTTTGGAAGTTTCTTACAAAGCTAAACATAGTCTTACCATACAATCCACAATTGCACTCCTAGCTATTTACCCAGTGATTTGAAAA